TCATCACCATTACACCATCATCACCATCATCATCATCACACCATCATCATCATCATCACCACCACCATCACCATCACACCATCATCATCATCACCATCATCATCATCACCATCACCACCACCATCACCATCATCATCATCACACCATCATCATCATCACCATCATCATCACCACCATCACACCATCATCACCACCATCATCATCACCATCACACCATCATCACCACCATCATCATCACCATCACACCATCACCATCATCATCACCACCATCATCACCATCACCACCACCATCACCATCACACCATCATCACCACCATCATCATCACCATCACACCATCACCACCATCACCACCATCATCACCACCATCATCACCATCACCACCACCATCACCATCACACCATCACACCATCACCATCATCACCATCATCACTATCACCATCACATCATCATCATCACCATCATCATCACCATTACACCATCATCACCATCATCATCACCATCACACCATCACCATCACACCATCATCATCATCACACCATCATCATCATCATCACCACCACCATCACCATCACCACCACCATCACCATCACACCATCATCATCATCACCATCATCATCATCACCATCATCATCACCATCATCACCATTACACCATCATCACCATCATCATCACCATCACACCATCACCATCACACCATCATCATCATCACACCATCATCATCATCACCACCACCATCACCACCACCATCACCATCACACCATCATCATCACCATCATCATCATCACCATCATCACCATCACCACCACCATCACCATCACACCATCATCACCACCATCATCATCATCACCACCATCACACCATCATCACCACCATCATCACCATCACACCATCATCACCACCATCACCACCATCATCACCATCGCCCCCACGAGTGTGTGCCACGTGTAGCAGGCTGGATGTGTGAGGCGTCACCAAGCCAACGTGGAACTTCCAAACGAAGATCAATCAGAGCATGGGGGGGGGGCACATCGCTCAAAACTCCCACGTGACGTCAGATCGGGGTGACCCCCATCACCCCTCACACCATCACCATCATCACACCATCATCATCACCATCATCATCACCATCATCATCACACCATCATCATCACCATCAACACACCACCATCATCAACATCATCATCACCATCATCACCATCACACCATCACCCCTCACACCATCACCATCATCACACCATCACCATCAACACACCATCATCATCACCATCAACACACCACCATCATCACCATCATCATCACCATCATCACCATCATCACCATCACACCATCACCCCTCACACCATCACCATCATCACACCATCACCATCAACACACCATCATCATCACCATCAACACACCACCATCATCACCATCATCATCACCATCATCACCATCATCATCACCATCATCACCATCATCACCATCACCCCTCACACCATCACCATCATCACACCATCACCATCAACACACCATCATCATCACCATCAACACACCACCATCATCACCATCATCACCATCATCACCATCATCATCACCGTCACACCATCACCCCTCACACCATCACCATCATCACACCATCATCACACCATCATCATCACCATCAACACACCACCATCATCACCATCATCATCATCACCATCATCACCATCACACCATCACCCCTCACACCATCACCCATCACACCATCACCCCTCACACCATCACCCCCATCACCCCTCACACCATCACGACTACTACTACTGCTACTACTGCTGCAACTACTACTACTGCTGCTACTACTACTGCTGTTACTACTACTACTGCTGCTACTACTGATGCAACTATTGCTGCTACTACTACTGCTGTTACTACTACTGCTGCTGTTACTACTACTACTGCTGTTACTACTACTACTGCTGCTGTTACTACTACTACTGCTGTTACTACTACTACTGCTGCTGTTACTACTACTACTGCTGTTACTACTACTACTACTGCTGTTACTACTACTACTACTGCTGTTACTACTACTACTGCTGCTGCTACTACTACTGCTGTTATTACTACTACTGCTGCTGCTACTACTACTGCTGCTACTACTACTGCTGTTACTACTACTACTGCTGCTGCTACTACTGCTGCTACTACTACTGCTGCTGCTACTACTGCTGCTGCTACTACTACTGCTGCTACTACTGCTGCTACTACTACTACTGCTGCTACTACTGCTGCTACTACTACTGCTACTGCAGCTACTACTGCTGCTGTTACTACCACCACTCCTATTGCTACCACCACTGCTACTACGGCTAACTAGCTACTACGACCACTGTTACTACTGCTGTTACTGCTGCTACTACTACTGCTGTTACTACCACTGCTACTACTACCATTCCTACTGCTACCACCACTGCTACTACTAACTAGCTACTACTACCACTGTTACTACTGCTGTTACTACCACTACTACTGCTGCTGATACTCCTGCTAACTAGCTACTACTACCACTGCTACTACTGCTGTTACTGCTGCTACTACTACTGCTGCTACTACTGCTCTTACTACTGATGTTACTACTGCTGTTACTGCTGCTACTACTACTGCTGCTACTACTGCTGCTACTACTGCTCTTACTACTGCTGTTACTACTGCTGCTACTACCACTGCTACTACTGCTACCGCTGCTACTGCTACCACCACTGCTGCTACTGCTAACTAGCTACTACTACCACTGCTACTACTACTGCTGCTACTACCACTGCTACTACTACTACCACTGCTACAACTACTACCACTGCTACTACTGCTGTTACTACTGCTACTACTAACACTACTGCTGCTACTACCACTGCTACTACTACTACCACTGCTACTACCACTGCTACTGCTACTACCACTGCTACTACTACTACCACTGCTACTGCTACCACAACTGCTGCTACTGCTAACTAGCTACTACTACCACTGCTACTACTACTACCACTGCTACTACTACTACCACTGCTACTACTGCTGTTACTACTGCTACTACCACTGCTACTACCACTGCTACTGCTACCACCACTGCTGCTACTGCTAACTAGCTACTACTACCACTGCTACTACTACTACCACTGCTACTACTACCACCACTGCTGCTACTGCTAACTAGCTGCTACTGCTAACTAGCTACTACTACCACTAGTATTACTGCTGTTACTGCTGCTACTACTACTGCTACTACTACCACTGCTACTACTACCACCACTGCTGCTACTTCCAACTAGCTACTACTACCACTGCTACTAGTGCTGTTACTGCTGCTACTACCACTGCTACTACTGCTGCTACTACCACTGCTACTACTGCTACTACTATCACTGCTACTGCTACCACCACTGCTAACTAGCTACTACTACCACTGCTACTACTGCTGCTACTGCTGCTACTACTAACACTACTGCTGCTGCTGCTGCAAACACAGTGCTGGATTCTCAGGCACAGGGAGTGCACCAACAGCCATCCCCTGGAGCCGGATTAGCAGATTCCCGTAGATTATGTCCGTGATTATTATTATTATTACTACTACCGCCACAAACAATAGCTACCTCCACGGCACGAACGCACAAATATCCCCCGAGGGCCTCCTCGGAGAGGCTGCACTGCTGGTCCTGAAACTATTTTGAAAATACATTTTTTTCTTTTGACGTCAAATGCTTTAATTCTTATTTTACCCGGTAGCAGTGGTGGCAAGGCTGCCCGGCTAGGCGGATGTGTGGTAGCTATGTGTTCGGCAGCGACCTGGGCAAATCGCAGAGACTCACAGAGATACACAGAGACCCACAGAGATACACAGAGACCCATAGAGATAGAGACCCACAGAGATACACAGAGACCCACAGAGATACACAGAGACCCACAGAGACACACAGAGACCCACAGAGATACATAGAGACCCACAGAGATACACAGACACCCACAGAGACCCACAGAGATACATAGAGACCCACAGAGATACACAGAGACCCACAGAGATACACAGAAACCTACAGAGACCCACAGAGATACACATAGATACATAGAGATACAGAGATACACAGAGACCTACAGAGATACATAAAGACCCAGAGAGATACATAGAGATCCACAGAGACCCACAGAGATACATAGAGACCCACAGAGATAGAGACCCACAGAGATACACAGAGACCCATAGAGATATATAGAGATACATAGAGACTCAACGATACATAGAGACCCACAGAGATATATAGAGACCCATAGAGATACATAGAGACCCACAGAGATACACAGAGACCCACAGAGATACATAGAGACCCATAGAGATAGAGACCCACAGAGATACATAAAGACCCAGAGAGATACATAGAGATCCACAGAGACCCACAGAGACCCACAGAGATACACAGAGACCCACAGAGATACATAGAGATACACAGAGACCCATAGAGACCCACAGAGACCCACAGAGATACACAGAGACCCACAGAGATACACAGAGACCCACAGAGATACATAGAGACCCAGAGAGATACATAGAGACCCAGAGAGATACACAGATATACACAGAGATACAGAGACCCACAGAGATACATAGATACCCACATATATACACAGAGACACATAGAGACCCACAGAGATACACAGAGACCCACAGAGATACATAGAGATACGTGATGACCATGGCAGTGATGGTGGTGGCGGTGGTGGTTATAATGGTGGTGATGATGATGGCGGTAGTGGTGGTAGTGATGGTGGTAATGGTGGTGATGGTGGTGATGGTGGTAATGGTGGTGATGGTGGTGATGGCAGTAATGGTGGTAATGGTGGTAATGGTGGTGGTGGTGATGGTGGTAATGGTGGTGATGGTGGTGATGGTGGTAATGGTGGTGATGGTGGTAATGGTGGTGGTGGTAATGGTGGTAATGGTGGTGATGGTGGTGATGGTGGTGATGGTGGTAATGGTGGTGATGGTGCATACCTCCCACAGATGCAGGTGTAGGAGACGTGACGCATCCCTCCACGGCTGTAGCAGTAGTGCTGGAAGAGGCTGCAACCACCGCCACCATCGCCACCAAAGACATCAACATGACAACCATCAACTCCAAGCAACAACCATCAACACAGCGACAACGTAGCAACCCTCAACAATCATCGATGCAACAATCATAAATGCAACAATCAATGAGTCTATGGGTCTCTGTGTGATGAGTCGATGGGTCTCTGTGTGATGAGTCGGTGGGTCTCTGTGTGATGAGTCGATGGGTCTCTGTGTGGTGAGTCTATGGCTCTCTGTGTGATGAGACTATGGGTCTCTGTGTGACGAGTCTATGGGTCTCTGTGTGATGAGTCTGTGGGTCTCTGTGTGATGAGTCTATGGATCTCTGTATGATGCGTCTATGGGTCTCTGTCTGATGAGTCTATGGGTCTCTGTCGGATGAGTCTATGGGTCTCTGCTGTGTGATGAGTCTACGGGTCTCTGTGTGAGTCTATGGGTCTCTGTGTGAGTCTATGGGTCTCTATGTGAGTCTGTGGGTCTCTGTGTGAGTCTCTGGGTCTCTGTGTGAGTCTCTGGTTATCTGTGTGAGTCTATGGGTCTTTATGTAAGTCTCTGGGTCTCTGTGTGAGTCTCTGGGTATCTGTGTGAGTCTATGGGTCTTTATGTAAGTATCTGGGTCTCTGTGTGAGTCTCTGGGTCTCTGTGTCAGTCTCTGGGTCTCTATGTAAGTCTATGGGTCTCTATGTAAGTCTATGGGTCTCTGCTGTGTGATGAGTCTATGGGTCTCTGTGTGAGTCTGTGGGTCTCTGTGTGAGTCTCTGGGTCTGTGTGAGTCTCTGGGTATCTGTGTGAGTCTATGGGTCTCTATGTAAGTCTCTGGGTCTCTGTGTGAGTCTCTGGGTATCTGTGTGAGTCTATGGGTCTCTATGTAAGTCTCTGGGTCTGTGTGAGTCTCTGGGTCTCTGTGTCAGTCTCTGGGTCTCTATGTAAGTCTATGGGTCTCTATGTAAGTCTATGGGTCTCTGCTGTGTGATGAGTCTATGGGTCTCTGTGTGAGTCTATGGGTCTCTGCTGTGTGATGAGTCTATGGGTCTCTCTGTGATTCTCTGGGTCTCTGTGTGAGTCTCTGGGTCTCTGTGTGAGTCTCTGGGTCTCTGAGTGAGGCGGGAAGGAGGGAGGGTGGGAGGGGGGTGGAGGGGGTAGGGGGGAGACTTCCGGACCCCCTTGCCCTGCCGATAAAATTAGGAACAGAGGTCACAGAGCTCAGGAAAGATTCAGTTACTCAGAGTGGCCTTGACCGGGTTCATAGCGGCCGTGTCGGAGACACTGAGTACCTGAGTTCAAGCCCTGGGTCTGGGTGTCTCTCTCTCTCTCTCAGGGGGTTCACGATGGCCGTGTCAGAGACACTGAGAGTCTGGGTTCAAGCCCTGGGTCTGGGTGTCTCTCTCAGGGAATCAGAATGGCCGTGTCAGAGATGCTGAAAGTCTGAGTTCAAGCTCTGGGTCTGGGTGTCTCTCTCTCAGGGGGTTCATAATGGCCGTGTTAGAGACACTGAGAGTATGGGTTCAAGCCCTGGGTCTGGGTGTCTCTCTCTCAGGGGGTTCACGATGGCCGTGTCAGAGACGCTGAGAGCCTGGGTTCAAGCCCTGGGTCTGGGTCTCTCTCTCTCTCTCAGGGGGTTCACGATAGCCGTGTCAGAGACAATGAGAGTCTGGGTTCAAGCCCTGGGTCTGGGTGTCTCTCTCAGGGGTTCACAATGGCCGTGTCAGAGATGCTGAGAGCCTGGGTTCAAGCCCTGGGTCTGGGTGTCTCTCTCAGGGGGTTCACGATGGCCGTGTCAGAGATGCTGAGAGCCTGGGTTCAAGCCCTGGGTCTGGGTGTCTCTCCATCTCAGGGGGTTCACGATGGCCGTGTCAGAGACACTGAGAGTCTGGGTTCAAGCCCTGGGTCTGGGTGTATCTCTCAGGGAATCAGAATGGCCGTGTCAGAGATGCTGAAAGTCTGAGTTCAAGCTCTGGGTCTGGGTGTCTCTCTCTCAGGGGGTTCATAATGGCCGTGTTAGAGACACTGAGAGTATGGGTTCAAGCCCTGGGTCTGGGTGTCTCTCTCTCAGGGGTTCACAATGGCCGTGTCAGAGATGCTGAGAGCCTGGGTTCAAGCCCTGGGTCTGGGTGTCTCTCTCAGGGGGTTCACGATGGCCGTGTCAGAGATGCTGAGAGCCTGGGTTCAAGCCCTGGGTCTGGGTGTCTCTCCATCTCAGGGGGTTCACGATGGCCGTGTCAGAGACACTGAGAGTCTGGGTTCAAGCCCTGGGTCTGGGTGTCTCTCTCAGGGAATCAGAATGGCCGTGTCAGAGATGCTGAAAGTCTGGGTTCAAGCCCTGGGTCTGGGTGTCTCTCTCTCAGGGGATTCACGATGGCCGTGTTAGAGACACTGAGAGCCTGGGTTCAAGCCCTGGGTCTGGGTGTCTCCCTCTCTCTCTCAGGGGGTTCACGATGGTTGTGTCAGAGACACTGAGAGCCTGGGTTCAAGCCCTGGGTCTAGGTGTCTCTCTCTCTCTCAGGGGGTTCACGATAGCCGTGTCAGAGACAATGAGAGTCTGGGTTCAAGCCCTGGGTCTGGGTGTCTCTCTCAGGGGGTTCACGATGGCCGTGTCAGAGATGCTGAGAGCCTGGGTTCAAGCCCTGGGTCTGGGTGCCTCTCCATCTCAGGGGGTTCACGATGGCCGTGTCAGATACACTGAGAGCCTGGGTTCAAGCCCTGGGTCTAGGTGTCTCTTTCTCTCTCTCTCTCAGGGGGTTCACGATGGCCGTGTCGGAGACACTGAGAGCCTGGGTTCAAGCCCTGGGTCTGGGTGTCTCAGGGGGTTCATAATGGCCGTGTCAGAGACACTGAGAGCCTGGGTTCAAGCCCTGGGTCTGGGTGTCTCTCTCCCTCAGGGGGTTCATAGCGGCCGTGTCGGAGACACTGAGAGCCTGGGTTCAAGCCCTGGGTCTGGGTGTCTCAGGGGGTTCATAATGGCCGTGTCAGAGACACTGAGAGCCTGGGTTCCAATCCTGGGTCTGGGTGTCTCAAGGGGTTCATAATGGCCGTGTCAGAGACACTGAGAGCCTGGGTTCAAGCCCTGGGTCTGGGTGTCTCTCTCTCTCAGGGGGTTCACGATGGCCGTGTCAGAGACGCTGAGAGCCTGGGTTCAAGCCCTGGGTCTGGGTGTCTCTCTCAGGGGGTTCATCGCGGCCGTGTCAGAGACACTGAGAGCCTGAGTTCAAGCCCTGGGTCTAGGTCTCTCTCTCTCTCTCTCAGGGGGTTCACGAGGGCCGTGTCGGAGAAACTGAGAGCCTGGGTTCAAGCCCTGGGTCTGGGTGTCTCTCTCTCTCTCAGGGGGTTCACGATGACCGTGTCGGAGACACTGAGAGCCTGGGTTCAAAGCCCTGGGTCTGGGTGTCTGAGGGGGTTCATAATGGCCGTGTCAGAGACACTGAGAGCCTGGGTTCAAGCCCTAGGTCTGGGTGTCTGAGGGGGTTCATAATGGCCGTGTCAGAGACACTGAGAGCCTGGGTTCAAGCCCTGGGTCTGGGTGTCTCTCTCTCTCAGGGGGTTCACTATGGTCGTGTCAGAGACGCTGAGAGCCTGGGTTCAAGCCCTGCGTCTGGGTGTCTCTCTCTCTCTCTCAGGGGGTTCATGATGGCCGTGTCAGAGACAATGAGAACCTGGGTTCAATCCCTGGGTCTGGGTGTCTCTCTCTCTCAGGGGGTTCATGATGGCCGTGTCAGAGACACTGAGAGCCTGGGTTCAAGCCCTGGGTCTAGGTGTCTCTCTCTCTCTCTCAGGGGGTTCATAGCGGCCGTGTCAGAGACACTGAGAGCCTGGGTTCAAAGCCCTGGGTCTGGGTGTCTGAGGGGGTTCATAATGGCCGTGTCAGAGACACTGAGAGCCTGGGTTCAAGCCCTGGGTCTGGGTGTCTCTCTCTCTCAGGGGGTTCACGATGGCCGTGTCAGAGACGCTGAGAGCCTGGGTTCAAGCCCTGCGTCTGGGTGTCTCTCTCTCTCAGGGGGTTCATAATTGCCGTGTCAGAGACACTGAGAGCCTGGGTTCAAGCCCTGGGTCTGGGTGTCTCTCTCTCTCTCTCAGGGGGTTCATAGCGGCCGTGTCGGAGGCACTGACAGCCTGGGTTCAAGCCCTGGGTTTGGGTGTCTCTCTCTCTCAGGGGGTTCACGATGGCCGTGTCGGAGACACTGAGAGCCTGGGTTCACGGCCTGGGTCTGGGTGTCTCAGGGGGTTCATAATGGCCGTGTCAGAGACACTGAGAGCCTGGGTCCAAGCCCTGGGTCTGGGTGTCTCAGGGGGTTCATAATGGCTGTGTCAGAGACACTGAGAGCCTGGGTTCAAGCCCTGGGTCTGGGTGTCTCTCTCCCTCAGGGGGTTCATAGCGGCCATGTCAGAGACACTGAGAGCCTGGGTTCAAGCCCTGGGTCTGGGTGTCTCTCTCTCTCTCAGGGGGTTCACGATGGCCGTGTCGGAGACACTAAGAGCCTGGGTTCAAGCCCTGGGTCTGGGTGTCTCAGGGCGTTCATAATGGCCGTGTCAGAGACACTGAGGGCCTGGGTTCAAGCCCTGGGTCTGGGTGTCTCTCTCTCTCAGGGGGTTCACGATGGCCATGTCAGAGACGCTGAGAGCCTGGGTTCAAGCCCTGGGTCTGGGTGTCTCTCTCAGGGGGTTCACGATGGCCGTGTCAGAGCTACTGAGAGCCTGGGTTCAAGCCCTGGGTCTGGGTGTCTCTCTCTCTCTCAGGGGGTTCACGATGGCCGTGTCAGAGACACTGAGAGCCTGGGTTCAAGCCCTGGGTCTGGGTGTCTCGGGGGTTCATAATGGCCGTGTCAGAGACACTGAGAGCCTGGGTTCAAGCCCTGGGTCTGGGTGTCTCTCTCAGGGGGTTCACGATGGCTGTGTCAGAGACAGTGAGAGCCTGGGTTCAAGCCCTGGGTCTGGGTGTCTCTCTCTCTCAGGGTGTTCACGATGGCCGTCTCAGAGACACTGGGAGCCTGGGTTCA